GTATTATTAATATCAAATATATATAACAACCTATTAATACTGACAGAAGGCAGAAAAATCCTCATGTTTTGAAGATGTTGAGCCTAAGAAAAGCACCTTGTCAATAAACAAATAGCTGTTGGTTGTAGTGCTAAGACTTCTTTTAAGTTCAGGACACTTTTCATTATGCCAAGCGTACTCTAGTTAGTTGACTGAACTGTACTGCCCACACTTAATGAAGACGTCACCTTACCTTTTTATTCTTTAATTAGAAGCTTAATAAGAACTTTGCAGAGCTTACAAATTTGAAGCATGTAGGGTAATTAAAGTTCTGATATTAGCTCTGATTTTGTTGAAATACTCTTGAGAATTTCATATATTTGGTAAATGTTTTCATATCAGCATTAAAATAGTAATATGATTTATTACATTTTTATACATAGCATTCACCACCAAACTTCAGAATATAAAGAAGAAAAGATAGCTGACAATCCTTCTCAAAATAGCAATGCAGGTAAGACTTCTGATAATGAATTACTCTTGGTGGTTCTACCATGGATAAAAAATTAAGAGGAAGTTTTGAGCGCAGAAGAGCAGTTAAAAAGTCAATCTGTAAATTGCATGTGTATGTTTACAATTGATTTCTTAGGAGTCTAGAATTCAGAATTATTCAATAAGTTAGTTGTAGAGAGTTTATAATGTCAAACAGTATTGTCTAAAAAAAGTCTTCATTCAATTATGTTCCCTAAAATGCTCTATGATATTTTTGAATAAATAAAAAAAGGTTTTAAAGTTAGTATGTTATATGTTTTCTCTATGGTAACATTATAATAAATTGGACTTCTTATTAAAATGAGTTATTTATATTTATATATCTAGGACATGAATATTAATTACAGTTGACCTGAACAACGCATGGGTTAGGGGCACCAATTCCCTGTGCAGTCAAAGATAGTGTATAATTTCTGACTCCCCCAAAACTTTACTAATAGCCTGCTGATGACATAAGCAGTCAGTTAACATGTTTTGTATGCTGTATGTATTATATACTGTATTCTTACAATAAAGAAAACTAGAGAAAACAAATTATTAAGAAAATCATAAGGAAGAAAAACTATATTTACTATTCACAAAGAAGAGGTGGATCATGAGAAAGGTGTTCGTTCTCATCGTGTTCACACAAAGTAGGCTGAGGAGGAGGAATAGAAGTTGGTGTCGTTTCTGTGTGGCAGAGGCAGAAGAAAATATGCTTATGCGTGGACCCCTGCAGTTCAAATCCTTGTTGTTCAGGTATCAAGGGTGTTACATAGTGGTTCCTGTCACTAAGAAAGTAACTATCTTTAAAACTGGGAACTCGAAAATAGCTTTCTGGTACCATAAACAAATTGCAATAAGAACTGTAAAACTTGGCCAGTGCACCAGTGCCAACAGCAGATTATTTTTTAAAGATACTGAGTACAGAAGTCAGAAATGAAATTCCTTGTGGAGAAGCACAAGCTATCCTACATGTTTTTATGCTAACATGGTCTCACTGTTATCGACCTCATACCCATAAATTGAAACTGAATGAGATATATTTACTTCCTTAAAACAAGATATATTCTTCAATCTGCCAGATAATTGTCATGATAACAGTAATTTTATTAGAATAGGATACCCTGTTACCAGTAGCCAAAAGATTATCATAGGCAGTATTCCAATAGACTAACTTTGGGCTCAACGAATTGTAATAAAAGTACAAAAACATTTCACAATAACAAAAAATGGTACTATGCTCCCTAGGTGTGACACCTAAAGCCCCTGCTAATCTGAACTGTATGATGACACCTTTAATTTAGTACGTATTTATGAAAGAACTTTTATAAGTTAGGTTTTATAAGTTGCAGGAGACGATGATAGATGCAGTTTCAGTCTTTAGGGTTCTCATAATAAAATAGAGCTGTACCTATATAATTTCTGTGTTTTTTCAACAAAATTATCAAAAATCATTTTTATTCATTTATTTCCTTGCGCAATTGACAAATAACTATCAAGTGTCTTTTAGGCAATAAACATTTTTGTAATGTTACAGAATACAGACATCTAAGAAATATACTCAGAAGCTTTATATTTTCATTGTCATTTTTATTATTTATTACTTTATTCAGTGCTTACTATGTGTCTGATGCCCTCTGTGAGCTCATAATTATCATTTCTTACGTATAGCATGTTAAATACGTGACAGACAGTTTAAGTCCATGGCGTTGGTGAGGAATTCATGCTTTAAAAAATTGGGTAACATATTGAGTGAGCATGCCAGGTAGAGCGGCAGAAGAATGATGCTTGGCAGAAGGAACATCTAACAAGAGTGTATGTTTGGCAGAAGGAACAGCAAGTGCAAAATCTGAGATGCATGAGTGAACTTTGCAGGGTGTGAGAGCAGTTCAGTTTTGCTAGTGCAAAAAACATAAAATGGGAGTGGTTGGGAATGAGATGAACACTTAGTTAAGGCAAGATTGTGGAAGACTTTTCAATGTCATAGAAATGAATAAATCTTATCCTTTAGGTCACGGGAAATTTC